GAATTAAAAAAATTACATGAGACTCAAATTTAATAGCATTTAATGAAAATATAATATATTTAAATCAAATTTATTAATAAACATATTGATAAGCATCTCACAAACCATTTTTTTCATTTATTAAATAAATGATATATTTTTTTTGATTGTTTGAATAAGCATTTTAAGGAACACTAAAACCCGACAAAATTATAAGGAAACTTATTGGATTTTATCATCTTTGATTAACTTTTAACTATGCCAAAATAATTAATGAAACAAACCTTGATTGATGAAGGCCCTTTTTAATATCTAAGCTTGAGCAAGGTTGTGTAATGGGTCCAATTCAAGTCCAACTAATGGTACCTACAAATATGAAAAGACATGAATTTTAATTAAATATATGCATTTTTCCTAATATGCTGATCTATATTCCTTGGTCAAGTTTTATATTTTGGGGAACCTATATTTTTTCACAGTTTGCGATGGACATTCTTTAGCATGTCATCATCATCATTTAAGTCTTATCTCAAACTCCCAGTATAGGAGTCCTGCCTCACCATTCTGTTATGCTTAGTGTCATATCCATTGTTAAATTGTTGGTACTTAAAACAGACATTTTTTAATTCATACATACATACATACATACATACATACATACATGACATAAGAATATCATCTTTATAAGACCTCTTTTTAAGCACTTATCTACATAAAAGTCTCTATTTGCACCATAAGTCTCCAAGTCTCCACCATTTTCGAGTATGTTCATGTATCTTTGTTTATTTCTATTTCTCTATTCATTCAAAACTTCAAATTTATCAGTTTCATTCAAGAACTGAGTGGAGTTTAGCTTTTTGCATCAGAGCCTAACCTAAGGTTGAATCAAATTTCAGATTCATGGAATCTGTATACTAAACCAAAGAAGATGATCCTATGATGAACAGCAACTAATGCTGTGCAAATCTATTGACAATAATCCCATGAATCCAACTTATACATTCCTACAACCTCGACTTCACTTTTGGAAGCCAGATCCACTTTGATCACCCGTGCTTGATCTTTCTGCAATTGATTCTATCTGTTCCGATCTGGTGGCCTACCAAGTGCAAAGTGGGAGCAAATGGAGGTGTTTTTCTGGAAATAAATTTGATCAAGATTCAAATCATGAAAATACAAAATTAAGAGAATATATATAGAAAAAAAAGTAGATAGAAGGGAAGAATGATTTGGATTTCTTTTTAATTTTCACATGGATCAATTATGAAAAAAAAATATTTTGTCCCAAAAAATTTGGCCATGTTTTACTAAACACAATTATAATTTTCAATTCTAAAAACCATGTCACGTATTTCACAAAAAGAAAAGAAAAGAAAAACGAATCCTTCCTACCAACCAATAAAATTTGTTTTCACCATGATTATTAGTAAGGCCCATGACTATTAAGGACCTAAAGAATCTATTATTTTTAGAGAACATTACCATATCAGAACCTTTTATCTCATAGCTTATAGATAGAAGGGTTAGACCAAAAACGAGATAGGTCGAAGTAGTAAGAAATAATTTAAGCACTAATAATTTAACAATAGATATGACATTAATGATGATGATGATGATGATGGTATGTAAATGTTATATTTTTAATTTTTATTTATTAGTAGAAATATTTTCTTTTTTATATTTTATTTTAATCATATATTTAGTGCATTTACTCGTAGAGGAAACAAAAAATTGACACTAGCACCAACCCTAGTAAGCAGGACATTTTACTTTTCAACTTTCTCTACCAAAAAGAACACTTGCTCACATAGGTTAAAAATGGTCAATTTAGGCTACATGGCATTAGCCCATGCCATGAAAAAGTTACTCATATCTTTTTTCTGAGTCAATGATGCTTGATTCCAGAGGCTTTCCAAGACATCATTCCCCTTTCCCACTAGGATTCCATGATTTTACATCTATTTCTTCCACTAGTGCAATTATTGTTTGGATTTCAAGAAACATCTTTTGCATTTTAAGGTTGTTTGATCTTCATCCTCATTCTCATCCTTCAATGATATTTCCATTGTTTTCTCATCTGAAAGTTGCTTTTCTTTTCTTTTTAATAAACGTTCTAACAACCACTAAAACAAGGAATTTTCTAGGAAAAAGGAAAGGAAAAGCAACAGTCCCACTTTCTTTTTTCCACCTTGTTCTTCATCATTTTCACCCAAGACCATTTATGCAACTGAGGCCAACATATAATAAAACAAAACTGCAAAAGCAGAAGAAATAACAAAAGGAGAAGCATGAATGCATGATCTAACTCAAAAGCCATGACCCTGTTTCTTTCCCCTTCTCTTTTACCAGTTCTTCTGAGAACATTCTAATTGCATATCAATAATCCATGAAGAAAAACAGAATTGGCTACTAAATCCAATAAAAGGTTGCTTTCATCGAGTTCATGAGATCCGATGACCACAAACCGCTGGCCACAAGACACTACAACTGCACATCCGGAATAACTCCCCATGTATTCTAACATAAACTACGAGAGATGTTCCCAATGTGTGATTTTAGGGTCATGTGCTCAATAGATTCGGACTTGCTTCACCATCATCATCATCATCATCTTCTAACCCTAATATAATACATTTGGATTTGGTCCTCACAAAACCATCCTCACAGCCCTTTGCAGCTGTGTATTAGGAATATCTCCCTATGAATAAAAACATATAAGTACGGAGATGTTCTCAATACTCGGCTGAAAGAGACTGAGGATGGCATGAGGACCAAATCCGAATTCCTAGTAAAAATGTAACCAATATAGCAAAATAATAAGAAAAAAACATGAAAAAGGGAATTCAAAACACCTTCTACAAAGTTTTGAAAAGATGAAAATGCTTATTTGTGTATAAAAATATTAAATAATCATAAGAAGTTAATTGTAGCTCTAATTATTAATCAAACACTTAAAAAAGAAAGGTTACTTTCGGAATAAACCTCGTCTAATCAAATCCCATCACACATTTATTCTAATATTTCATTTAGATGATTTGATCTTGTTGACATTTGACCCAAAAAACATTCCAACCGAGAGACCCACCAACTAGTGGGTCACTTTGGCTTTTCCTCCTGCACAAAAACAGTACGTCAGCTCTTGTGCCTGTTCGTGGGCCAGAGCGGGAGGTGGACTTGGCAGGAGACATGAAAACTAGTGGTGGGCCCCCTCGTCAACCCACTAGGCCCAGTGAAAATATAGCTGCCAGAGCTGATTACAACGCCTTGAGTACGTATTCAAATTCAAATGCTTCCTGCTTCATTAGTGTGGCCTGTGGGGTCACTCGTATTTGTTTCCATGGAAACGCCACCTTGCCTTTGTGCCAACAAGATCCTCTCACGAGAAGTCATAACAACAGTATTTTCCTTTTTTTTTTTTTTGGCTGCAATAACAACAGTAAATTCACGTCAAATCATCTCCGCCGTTGATTTAATAATACATTTATGAAATTAATTTTCATTTACTTAAAATGGGTGAAATTTCTTTTCAAAGTTTGCATTGAAAGTTTCAAACAGATGGGACTCTCTCTTACTATGAAAAATAAATAAAGACTTTCCAAATTAGGCCCACATTGAGGCCCAGCACCAGCTTACTTTTCACTCTAATTATAGCTCTATAGATTTGCCCTTTATTTTGCTAAATTACAGACTGCTACCTTGTACTCAGCGGGTGGTGATACTTGGCCCTCTTCAAACTTTGTTTTTGCGATAAATAGCCCTCTAACTTTTGGATTTCTGTACTTTACCCCCACTTTATTGGTGAATGAGTCAACTGTGTGATTAAAATTACAAAACTGTTCATTCAAGATTTCATGGACTAAAAGAAAAAGCTATCAAAATGACAAAAATGAACATTTTTTTTTTTACTTTTTGCTTCATGGGACACACAATGAGGAAGTAGTCCTTTCCCACCTTGGTTGCAATAGGATTTAAAGAGTTGGGATCTTCTCACAACAAAATACTTTTCGGATGCTTTGGAACATGAATATGTATCCATTCGCACATCCGACCATAGTAGGTCCCAATCTCATGGTAAAATGTGCGGACACAGATCATATTGGCATGTGTTGGAAAAGTATTTCATTATGAGAAGATCCGGCCCCGGGATTTGATCCCAAATCTATACTACAATGAGTCAAAGATCCCACCAACTGAATCGCACAACAATTTACAAAAATGAGCACTATTAACCGCAATATCTCTGTTGGATTGGGTTGTTGTGCTTTCAAATCCTTGTTGAAGAAAAAGCAAAACTCAACCAAAAAGAGATTGTGATTTGCATGTCAATTTTCATCATTAGAGTTTTTTTTTTTTTTCCTCTCGGCCCATCAAATGGGTAATTTAGTAATTTTACCTTTACCATCAACCCAGTTAAATGGAATAAGGGTTTCAGTTCTGAAATCCAAAAGGTTCAGGGTATTTTTATCACAAAACAATGTTGAGGGGGCCAAGCGTCATCGTCCCCTAATTACAGGGCGACTTTCTGTAATTTACTTTATTTTTTCTGCATGGGAGATTCTCTCATTCTCTCGGCTTTGGAGTTTGGCCACCCATGTCCATGTGGCCCAAGGTGAATTACTTATAAAGTTATAATCATGGTTGGAGTTTGGGCCCTTTTGTGCAATAATCTGGGCCGGGCTTGGGCTTAGATGTTTAGGTTCTATTTCTAATTTGTTTATATAAAAAGTTTATCACGTCGATCAGATCTATGGTTGTCATTAAATGGAACCGTAAATGTCATCAGACGGGATGGACGGTAGAGATCTCTAGGTATATCAACTGATCTATCACTATCGTCGTACAGGATAACAGGTCTGAAATTCTCACGAGAAGACAAAACTATATCCTCCCAAACTCCCAAAACAACCGCCAAATAGTCGAACGATGACGTAATTAGAGATTTATTAATAGCTAATAAATTATTAAAAAATTATTAATTGAAACCTAACCTCAAAATTCGTTGACGGAACGACGGCACGAAACTGAACGCTTTGACGGCAGACAAACGGAGACACTAACGACGATAACAGCAAAAGTTCTCTCTCTCTCTCTCACATTCTCTGCAACCGTCTGAAACACTTTTTGTCTTCTCTGCAGTTTTGGCGATATTTCTCAAAAAGCTTATCGAAGAGGCTTTCCGCCATTAATTATCTCTATCTCTATCTCTCTCCATCTCTTTCTCCTTCGCTGTCAGCGACATGCTTCAGAGCTTACGCCTTCAATCCTCCATTAATGCAAACCCTAACCCCAACTCCACCATGAGACCAAAGCGAAGTGATCGGGAATCCCATGCCGGAGACTCCACCGGAGATAACGAAGATAACCAAGCCCGTAAGCGTTTCAATTTCGGCAGGAACCTCTCCGGAGAAGCCACAGTTTCGGGTGAGAAATCAGTAAGACACGAAGACGAAGCGGAAGAAGAAATCGTCATCGGAGGTGAGTCCTCCGGTCTCCGTCTCTTGGGGCTTCTACTCCAGTGCGCCGAGGCTGTATCCATGGACAACCTCGACGAAGCCAGCGGTCTCCTCCCTGAAATCTCGGAACTTGCTTCTCCTTTTGGTTCATCACCGGAACGAGTCGCGGCATACTTCGCCGAAGCTCTGCAAGCTCGAATCATCAGTTCTTGCCTCGGTATGTACTCTCCTCTCAACATCAAAACCCTAACCTTGGCTCAGAACCAGAGAATCTGTAGCGCGCTTCAATCTTACAATTCCATTAGCCCTTTGATCAAATTCTCCCATTTCACTGCGAATCAAGCCATCTTCCAAGCTCTGGAAGCCGAAGATCGAGTCCACGTGATCGATCTCGATATAATGCAGGGCCTTCAATGGCCAGGACTGTTCCACATCCTCGCCTCGAGATCGAGAAAGATCCGTTCCATGCGAATCACCGGCGTCGGGTCGTCGATCGAGCTCCTGGAGGCCACCGGACGGCGACTCTCCGACTTCGCCAACTCCCTGGGTCTACCGTTCGAGTTCCACGCGTTGGAAGGGAAGGTGGGGAACATAACCGATCTGAGTCGACTCGCTCCGAGGCAACACGAGGCTACGGTGGTGCACTGGATGCACCATTGTCTGTACGACATCACGGGGTCGGATCTGGGGACGTTGAGGCTGCTTAATCTGTTGAAGCCCAAGTTAATCACGATCGTCGAACAAGATCTCAGCCACAGCGGGAGGTTCTTGGGGAGGTTCGTCGAGGCCTTGCATTACTACTCGGCGTTGTTTGATGCGTTGGGCGATGGCTTGGGTGGGGACAGCGTGGAGCGGCATCAGGTGGAGCAGCAGCTCTTCGGTAGCGAGATCAGGAACATCGTGGCCGTTGGTGGGCCCAAGAGGACGGGTGAGGTGAAGGTCGAGAGATGGGCCGATGAGTTGAGGAGAATCGGTTTTAGACCCGTCTCACTCGGTGGAAACCCAGCGGCTCAAGCGAGTTTACTACTCGGCATGTTCCCTTGGAAGGGATACACCTTGGTAGAGGAGAGTGGGTGTTTGAAGTTAGGATGGAAGGATCTCTCTTTACTCACTGCTTCCGCGTGGCAGCCGTCCGATCAATCGCTATGAATTGGGGGTGGGGTCATGGGTTCTGATTGGAGAGTTGTTCCAAACCAACGGCCCTGATTGACGCGATCTATCAATTCAAAAACATCGAAACATATTTGTCGTGTACAAAAATGTATTCATCACTTGAATTTGGGTTTGATCAAAATCTAATTATATTGGTTTGGGCCTTGTATTGATGGTGATGATGGGACTGAAGTGGAAATTTCAAATTTGTGTTGTGGAATGAGAAACACTAGATCAGATCTGCTTGAGCTTTGTCAAACTGAGAGTGAGAGAGGAGGACCATGTCTCCTCAATGGGGACACTTTTTAGAGATCTTGTGAGCTTAAAGGTTCCCTTAAACCTTTTTTATGCACCCTTTTAGAAAGCTTTGTTTCGATCCTGTATGTTGTGATGTTTCTTTTTAATTAACTCGTTTTGACCTTCGGGGTTAAAGTTAAAACTGTTAAAGGTTTCCAGCGATATTCTTTAATTAAAGGCACCACATACGTGGCACTGTGGCAGGCATCTCAGGGAAATCTGGTAATATTGGGCAAACAGGCAATTCTGCTTAAGCAATAACTTTTTTTTGCCACGTGGCAAGTGTATTTTATCACTTCTTCTGCCGTGGATAGGGACGTGGGAACATGCAGATCTGAACCCATATTTTTTATAGCGCACAAATGGAGCGAAATGAGAGGAACAAGTAGGGCCTTTTGGGGTTCTATAAACAGTTTCAAGTGGAATATTCTAGGAATGATTTTGTATAAATAACTAAATATATGTATTATGGACCAACCATAATGTAGTCAAATGAGGGAGTATTTCTACGTGGCTTTCCATGTTTTTGACACGTAAAGTACGATGGTGTGATTAATTTGAGCTAAATATATCCACAGAAAAAAAAAGGTTGGGGAACCCTTCAAAATTGACTATTTATTCAATCATTGAGTGAGTCCATGTCAGCCACATGGCCACGTGTCTTTGATAGGTAATATGTGGTTATTAAAGGTTTTAATTTTTTTATAATAATTTTGCCTAAAAATAGTTTTGATAAATTTGCCTTGTGTTAGATGATGGCGAGAAAAATCTGTGCAAATGAACTACTGCGTATATTTGACAAAAAAAAAAAAAAACAAAACTAATGCATAGAGTTGGGCCCTATTTGGCACCAATTCTTGATCTGCTTCTCACACCAACTTCACAGTCATCCCAGCCACACATTAAGAAAACTTTCGGTATTTATATATTGTCATCATTCATGGGAGATGTTCTCCCTTCACAGCTTTCAGGTACTCCTCTAACTAGTGTGAGGAGCACTTTATCAGGAGCAAATCCAATTTCTTTATGGGAGAATGACTATTCAGCCCACCTCAGAATTCTTAGCCCTATTGCATAGGTAGGATGAATCCTGACCGTGGATTGATGCCAAATCTATGGGCAGGATGCAGTTTATAGGGGGGGACTACTAGTAGACTATGGAGGGCTGTAATTTCAACATTCTACAATGGGCCGCAGTGTACTTTTCCGTTTCTTTATCTATAACCTATTTGGAAAGGCATTGATTGAGATGTGGATTTTGGAGTCCGGATATACTCTCAATAGAACAGTTCCAACACACACCCAACATGATTTGACACCACATCTCAGCCTCTCAGGCAGGGTGGTTCTAGTCTCATGGTGAGATGTGCGGTGTCAGATCATGTTGGAAGAGTATTAGGACGGATTTTGTTGGGAGTAGATCTCAACTCTTCCCAAGCTATTCAAAATAGTTTCACTAGAGATATAACTTTCTGGGTTTTCAGCAAACATGGCTTCACATCTTTATGTGTGGGGCCTACTTTGCAATGTCATAAGTTGCCTTAAATCCCTCACAAACGGACACTTATTTTCTTTAAGGAGACATGTTTAATTTCATTCAATGCTCAAACTTCAAAGTATCAAAAAAATGCAAGAAAAAAAAAGTATCAAAAATACAATTTTAAGAGGCATACTAGGATATGAATGGATATGATTAAAAAATTAAGATATGCATGGATATGCCATGAAAAAAAACTAGAACTAAATTGAAAGTAGATATTTACGAATTCAAACTTAGGAAAAAAGGTGGAATGAGATACTTACCTCTCATGTGCAACATTGAGAAGAGCTTTCCAACAACTAGCAAAAGCTCAAATGAAGATTGGACGAGCTGTTGAGTTGGGGTGAGTGTTTCAGGCTTTAAATCTTCAGTCTAGGAAATAGGGGAAGCATATTTGGGGCTTGATTTTCAAGGACTTTGGGATTTCAGGTAAAATGGAGGCATTACGGAGGTTGGGGAAATGCTATTTTCTCCGCCCTTTTTCCCCTTTAGATCTCTCATTTTCTTTTTAGACCTTCCCCATTCTTGAGCTCAAGTTGGATTAATATTTATAGAGAAAGGAAGGGGGAAAGTTTTGAAGTTTGTGTAACCAGAGGACTTGGGCTTTAAGAATTATTTTACAAGAGAATAAACAAGGATTTTTCAAAGAAAATAGTGCTCAGTTAAACTTCCATCTTTGGTAAAAGATTTTTTCGATTTGGGGGTGGTTTTCACAAGTTTTGTGCATGGGAGCTTGGGGCATCCTTGTCATGGCAGTCTCATATTCGGGGCTGTCAATGACAGAAAACATAAATTTGATGAACTTTTAAAAGTGATTTTGTCTTTTCTTAGTTTTAAGCAAGGTTCAAAAAATCGATACAATACACTCTGTATCTTTTGGGTATAGGTGTTTCGGGACCCCACCCTTTTTTAATTAAAACACACATTTTTAGCTCCCCAAAAACCAAAATTTGAAAAAAAAAATATTTATGTGTTTTTCTAAGTACTGATACACCTCTGTCGATACGCAGAGGCGTATTGATACTTTGAACCATGATTTTAAGTAGGGGTATCTTTAGGTTTTTGGGACTTTTGGGTCTATTAGGCTCAATTTCATTGGTCCAAGTGTTTGAACAGGTCAAGAATGGGTTTGAAATCAGCCATCACACTTTTGAGGTTTCATATTGGGACAAATGAGGTGGTGATTTGACATGCTAGGGTTGTGAAATTTGACATGTTGTGAAATTTGCTTGATGAAATTTGACATGGCATGGCATGTCATCTTCCTAGTTTAACGGTCAAATAGGCAAATCAGGTTGTGAAATTTGACATGCTAGGGTTTTTTGGGTCTCTAAATATAGTGGTATGGTCTGATTGGTTAAATAGGGTTGGGATGATAGAGATCTAAGATTGCCAAGTTCGGATCAATGAGATTTACTAAAATAGAATCTTTGCTTGATGAAAGGTCAAATAGGGGAATTTTGGGATGAAATTTGGTGGGTAGGAACTTTTGAACATCTTGAATATAATGAAAGTGATGGATCTTTGATCAGAGGTGCAGACTGACATATTTGGTTTGAGTTTAGGTTTTATCAATTAATGAGATAACATGAAATGGAATCTCACTTTTTTAACGGTCAAATGAAAGAGTTTGGTCATGAAATATGATGTGCTGGGGTTTTTTGTGTCTATGAATCCAGTGATGAGGTCTGATTGGTCAAATGAATTTGGGATGATGGATGATAAGCCTTAATCAATAAGGTTTGCTGAAATAAGATTTAAGCTTGATGGTGGGTTAAACAAGGGAATTTTGGGATGAAATTTGTGGGTATGCACAAATTACGATGAGGAATCAAGTGGGTGGCTTTGATCTAAGAAAGAAATGGTTGATCTTGGTAATTGTTTGGGGCCATCAAAATAAGACCTTGGTGTTTTACGGTTGATTGTTATGAATTTGTGGTGGGATTCACTAGTTTATATTGTATCCAAGAGATCTTGAGGCTATAGGTCTGTTGGATTTTATTTTGGGGAGTTAGAATTTGGATAAATTAGGGCCATTAGGAAGTTAGCGTGATGAAATGTGGATATGTGACTAATTTATAGTTTCTAAGTCTGGAGGCCACAATCAATTGGACATTGGTGTTGATCTCAAGATTTTCATTTGGCTTTGGAAAGTCTCAATTTGATCTGGTCATGTTTCCAAATTTCGGGGTCTAAAAGTAAGGTACAAAGAGGCAGGGTGAAGGGACCGAGCAAAAATTGGGTGTTGACAACTGGCATATATGAATTTGAACAAAAAAACTCATAAGAAAACATGGTTTTTTTTTTCTCAACTAGCAATAAACCCACTTTGAGGAAATAAATATGAGATTTTTACTTATTTTTTGGTAGATCTTGCATCCTCATGTTGTTTAGACCTTTCCCATTAAGTTTTAGATTAAAAGGAATTGTATGGAAAATATTAGAACGATTAAAACACCCTCCTTATTCCACTACCATGCTTCAATACACATTGATACACATTATTATTCATTGATTTCTATTGATACAATATGTTACCCATTGAAAAACTATTAATACTTATGAATTCCAAAAAATAATACATATTGGACTGTATTAGTGGATATGTAGCAATACTTTAAATTTTGATTACATTTGATGTTGTCTAATTCGAGGTGTTGTAAGGAAAAACATGTAGTAGATAAGTCCTGCTAATTTGGAGAAGCTGAGGTGGAAGGACAAGGTCATGCACCGTTTAGATCTATAGGCATAAGATTGTTAGTGTCCCAAGGATGAGGTCCTCGGGAAGGCACTCTGATGCTCAAGTTAGTAAACAGTGGTGAGGACGGCCGTGCCGAGTTGGTCCGAGACGAAGAGAGAAATATGAGAGCAAGTGAGCTAGAGAGAATTAGTTGTCTGATATTAAGGGGAGATGCCTTTAAATAATAGTGTGTCATAGCCTAATGGGATATGCTCCATGTCTCGTGTGTTGTTCCTTGGAAAGGCTGAGGTCTATAATCTTCGAAGGTCTTTATGTGTTATGGCACAAAGTGTCTTGGAGCTTATCCACCCAGGGTTTTCACGAGGTGGCATGATCACCTACACAATGCTAACTCAATGTCGTTAACGTAGACGAGCTTATCAGCTGAACTTGATGGATATGGTGTCCATGTAGCGAGTACAAATGGCTAGGATATGACTCCAACACCAGTCCCCTAGTTCCAAAGTTTAGGAGGAAGTGCATGGCCTAAGTCTGGAGGCCGAGCTCTTCTAGTGCTTGGCTGTGGAATTCTTGTCAGAATTCTAAGTGCTAGTCGAGTCATATGCCTACGGTTGGACACTTGTGCGGGTGCCTATGTGGTTGCATTGTTTCATCTTCTAGAGCTCATGCGCTTATGCAGCCTTAGGATTTAATCTAGACCGTCGATTTGACTGTTTTTTGCATCTATATATGGCGCTAAGGGGGCAAATTATTCTATTTTATCATTTGAGTAGGAGTGACTCGGAGAGCTTGGATAAGGTCTTCGTCCTTCGAGTGGGGTATATCTTCATCCTCATCTTTTTCCTCTAAGTGTCCCACTAGGTATACTAGGACTACAGAGTCTGACTCGAGTAGCGAGTAG